GTGACCAAGACGTTCCTCGAAGAAAAGTTTGTCCCGAGCGTGATTGAGCCGTCGTTTGGCGTCGGCCGCCTCCTCACGGCCGTCTTTGAACACACGTTTTATGCACGCGAAGGCGACGAGAAGCGCGGTGTGATGGCCTTTCCCGCGGCGATCGCGCCCATCAAGGTCGCAGTCCTCCCGCTCAGCACAGCGAAAGAGTTTACGCCGGTCATGCTCTCGCTCGAACGCGACTTGCGTGCGCGTGGCATCGCGTGCAAGAGCGACGCGTCCAGCGTTGCGATTGGCCGCAAGTACGCGCGCGTCGACGAGCTCGGCGTGCCGTTTGGCGTCACGATCGACTTTGAGACGGCGGGCGACCAGTGCGTCACGGTGCGTGAGCGCGACTCGTGCGCGCAGCTCCGCGTGCCGCTCGCCAAGGTCGTGGCCGTGCTGGACGACCTCGTCGCGGGGCGTGCGGCGTGGACCGACTTGACCAAGGTGTTTACGGTCGTCGAAGCTAAGAAGGACGAGTAAGCAGCCAGCTCCTGCGAGAGGTTGGCAGCAACAACGTAACCACAGCAACAACACGATATGTGACTATCTATATACATGTCCATGCCAACGAAAGTCACTCTGTCGAGGACTCATTCGACCGCCGCAGCATGTCCCTTGAAGCATGGCCCCACGGACGACCTGTGTGAGGACCATGTGTCGACGAGCATGACAATGACCAAGGTGGCGGTGCCAGCACCATCTTCTCGTGACGCATCGTCGTCACGGAAGGTCGCCGCCCACGGCTCCCGACGACACGAATCTTGGTCGTAGCCGAAGTCAAGGAGAATCCAGCTCGCTCGCCGACATATATCGGCCGAGTAGCATTCGTCCAAAGCTGTGTTGAGGAAGCAACGACATGTACAGCTGCTCGATGGTGGGTGCCGGCTCGACAACGGGCTCGGGGCTTGCAGCTTTGTTTTGATGGACAGATGCTCGCAAGCACCGAAGTGTTGTTGGAGGATGCGCTCAAGGGACTTGACAAATGTCACTACTGTGAGTACAATGTTGATTATTGCAAGTCTTGGTGGATTCGAGCAGTACGGAACGCTACGGTCGTACACTTCTGACTTCTTTAGCACGACTCCTAAGCCGACACGGTCCACTTCTGGGGCTCGGGCGCGGCCGCGTTCCAGGGCAAGCTCGTGATGAGGTTGCCATAGAGCGCTGGCGGGTTCTCTGCGTCGCGCGTCAAGTACTGGCCATCCATGTCCTTGAAGCGGACCTGCGTCTCGCTGACGTCTTCGCAGAACCAGTGGGTCGTGTTGGACGCGTCAAACGAATTGTACCGCAAGACGACTTGGTTGGGCTTGTTGGCTGGGTTGCAGTCGGCGCAGCGGCTCCAGTACTGGGAGCCATACTCACTCTGGAGAGCCATCTTACCACCCGGAACGATGCGGATATGGACCGGTTGGGCCCACTCACCGGTGCGGGCCGGGTACGGGTAGCCGTCAACTCCGCAGCCGCCACAGTACCCAAGGCCTCGGCCGTTGTCGGCTTTAAGAAAGATCACCTTGCCGTCGGTCAAGGTCTTGCAGAGCGAGAAGGGTGCCGGCGTCGTCGGGGCGGGCGTCGTCGGGGTCGGCGTGTCACCACACGCGTTGGTGGCGGTGACCGAAGCGATGGCCGAGGCCAGAAAGCCGAGGAGGGCGTAAGCGGGCTGCATGGGTCTCAAGTTGAAATGGAAAATGAAGCTTTCGGTCGAGATGAACAGGATGCCTTTTCCATTGCAATAAGCGTCGTCATACTACAGTGCAGTTCTCGCGTCAGTCCACGCCCAGCCACTTCTCGACTGGACGCGTTGGAATGCCGAGCATTTGTCGCTTGAAATGGCGAGAGTTTCTCGGTCTGAGAACGGTTAGTTCAACGGGAGGAATTCAATGAATACGTCGGGCGCGGACGACTTGTACTGCTTTACTACGCCACTGACTCGCTTTACCCTCTCACATGACACGAAAATGCGGTTTGAAAACACGCTCAAGTGCCCACCCATAACCCGGAACGGCGTCCGTATCCAGGACGCCATCAGTATGTCCTAGTCATTCGTAGTCAAGGATAGCCAAGTGCCCGACGTGACCGACAAGCCTCCACCATCCCTGGACGAAGCGCTTTGAGTGAATTCCTCGCAGAGCTGTCGGAGCAAAAGAGACGATGATGTGTCTGCGTAACGCTTGAAACCCCCAAGCGTTACAACTGATGGCAGAACTGATAGTACTGCCATCAGTTCTGCTATCAGTGCGATCAGTTTCGATGCTGATAGCTCCTGCTGATAGCTGGTGCTGATAATAAAACGAGGCGATCCAATGATCCTTTCTTCGAGGAATAAATTAGAAAGGCGACGCTATATTTTGTATTTGGATACCGACACCTTGGCACGCGATGGGCAGATCCCATTGCGTGCCAGGGTGTCGTGCGGTCACGAGTCCTGGATCTGGTAGGATCTGGTGGGACTCGTAGATTCTGGGAGGCAATATACAGTAATCATACCACAAGGTACCAAATCTAGATGGATCGTCGCCACTCGCTGCCGAGAGCAAGGACTTGTGTCGGGTGCTGTCTTGACCGAATGGACACAATATCGATATGATTGCTCGGAAGCTGCCTCCATGGAGACGTCGCACAACATGCAATAGACAATGTGTTCGTTAGATGGATCGCAATACCTTTACACTGTGCAGGATTCGCCTTCATTGCACCCTGCATTGCGCCCGTTGGCTCGACCTTCCAAGTGAACTCACCAACACGATGTTGCTCTCGCTGGCCTCCAAAACGACCGCATGTATCATTCTCGGGAGGTTTACTGCGATCGCGTGACCTTGACGACTACAAGCTGAGTAAGACACACAGTCAAGGCGAAGAGCGCCTGCTCGCGTTACATTTGTGCATCCGATGAAGACGGAACCGATCTCGCATCTCTAGCATACCTCCACAGCACGGATCATATTGCCCAAGTCGTTGCAGGTCTTTTGAGAGGAAGAGTTGTGCAAGTAAGCAGCGACGATACCGTACATTTACAGCTAGGGTCGTCGTACACGGGCAGACTAAATACATCACTTATTGGCTACATATTATTTGGGGTTCCGTGGCTGTCCTACGGGTTGGCATGGAGCGTCACCAATCCCGTCCCTGTGCGCCAAGTGGCACTTGTTGGTCTGTCTGTCGGGCCAGAATCACCACGTGGTCACGGTCCACAACTGAGGCGCGGGCGCCGTCGCGTTCCAGGCCACGCTCATGATCAGGTTGCCGGCAAGGTTCGGAAGCTCTGCGTCGCGCGTCAAGTACTTGCCTTCAACGTCCTTGAATCGGATGTGCGTCTTGCTGACGTCTTCGCACGTCCAGCGCGTCGCGTTCGACTCTTGCCAAGTCTTGTGGCGCAAGACGACTTGGTTGGGCTTGTTTTTCGCATCGCAGTCGACACAGCGGCTCCAGTACAGCTTTTGTTTCTGGTTGTACAGAGCGATCTCACCACTTGGAACGCGGCGTACATGGACGTTTTGTGCCCACTTGCCGGTGCGGGCCGGGATTTTGTAGCCGGCGACAGAGCAGCCATTGCAATATCCAAACCCTTTGCCGTTGTCGGCAATCAGGTAGACAACCATGCCTTCGGTC